CCTAGCTCGCGGCCCCAGGGAGCGAAGAGGAGCCTTGGGGACCGGGGGGCGGGGCTCTCCGGGCCTCCCTTGAGCTGCAGCGCTCTTGCACAGGCTCGGGGGACCCGGGAGCGGGGCCCTCCCGGCTTCCCCTGAGCCGCAGTGCTCCTGCGCGGGCTTGGGGAACCTGGGGGCGGGGCTGGGGGCGGGGCTTGCCCGCGCGGGCTGCCGTAGCGGCGCTCCGGAGGGCTTCGGGGCGATGAGAGCTCTGCTCATAACCAAAGGTGAATTTAATTCTCACTGATTGAAAAGAGCATCAATGTTATGTTTAATTTTCACCACAGAAATTAATGGAATCTAATTTCTGTTACGTTGGGTTGAATTGAGTCCCCTGGTCAGCAAAAGCAGCATTAGGCAGACATTCCAGGTTGCAGCAGTGGTAATTTGGTGGGGGGAGGGGGATTCAAGCCATGAGTTATTATATAACTTAAAGAAAGTCTCTATTATGTAACTTAAAGTATTTTCATCTCTCATTCATTGTGAAAAAGAAATAAATGCCAATTCCAATTTTGTCTTCTTTTTACTCTGTCTGGTAAAATGAATGTGGAGATCTAATAGTAATTAAACTGCAATGTCCCAGATTACACATTTACATACTTTTACTTACCATTATACTGCTCACAGACAGCTCTGTACTTTTTATTACATGTTCCTGTTTTCCATAGCCCACCAAGGTCTAAGTAGACACAGGCTAGATTTTCTTTTGGCTCTCCAGGAGCCCAATTAGTATATTCCAGTTTCCAGTCAGATACCCATCTATAATTCTCATTGGTCTAAAAGGTACATCATAGAAAAATGATACAGTGGTTTAAAAAAGGCATTCAGTTTATTTGAAAAAATGTGGAAAACAATGTCCATGTACTAAAAACAAACCATTTTTGCACCTTCAGACTGACTGTTCGTGTTACAGCAACAAAGTGTAAAGATTCCTGTGGCACATCTTAAATACCATATTCTTTAAGTCATACATTTTAATTTAATTTAATTAGATGCATCTTCAATCTGTAGATAAGTATATACATAAGATGCATAGACGTCTATTTATCATTTCCCCCCCACACTCTTCCATATCTCCATTTTACAAGTAATTCCAAATCAAGCTATAGAATATGGATCATTAGATCCACAAAATGAAACTAAGGAAAGATGGGGGGGGGGGTTTTACCTGAAAATCTGACAGAAGACCAAAGTTTGCAGAAAAATATGAAATCTTAATAAAAATATGCTGGGGGATTAAAACTCCCCAAAATAATAGAAACAATGCATGTAGCTTTAAGAAAGTAATGCCCACTGAGCTCTCTGTCAGAAATTTGCAGGTTGTTAAGCAACCACAACAATATTACTGAGCCTTCCAAGCCTGGGTTTCTGTAAAGCAAAGCTTCAGGGGGGGCAGGAATGGAGGCCAACACTGGCCCTAGTCTGGCAATGGCGACCAGCATGCAATGGGGGCCAAGCCTAGTAGTGTCCCACAGTTCACAACTGAGCTTGAGCACAGTGGTGGAAACCAGTGTGCAACTGGGCCCCATTTTTCCCAGAAAGAGGGGGAGGGAAGGCGTAATGTATTCATATCCGACCACGTGCGAGGGTAGCTCGCCACATGGTCATGCGAAGCCTTTGAGCTTTGCTCCGAGAGACAATGGTCCAAGCAGATCCTAGCCTGTGCCAATCGGAGGGCTGGGGTCCTAGCTGGGACCTATGGAACTCTTGGCCACTGTAAATACCCTATCACGGTGGTGTGTGTGTGTGATGGGTATCTTATGAATAAAAGCCAGCCTGCGAGCTGGGTTCCTTGTCTTGTTCCAAAACTTAAATAAATGTATGAGCTGAAATCACTGCCTCTCGCTCAGTACATTTCAGAAGGAGGGAAAGCTAAAGACAGTAGAACTGATAAAGGAAGATTAGCAGGTAAGGAAGAATATATGGAAGCTGAAAAAATGAGGGAGGCTGTGTAGGGTGTCAGAAAAGCGGAAGAAGAAATAGTGAAGGAGGAGATACAGGAGAAAATAAGAAGCCCTCCACAAGTCCTTGTCGATTTCCTTGTTTTATCCTCACAACAACCTGATATTTAAAATATTTATAAGCTGTTTTCCACCCATCTTAGGGTCTCCAAGGTGGTGAACAATAAAAACATTGCAACAAGATAAAACACATATAAATATATAAAAATAATTAAAAACTATTAAAACATAAGTCAAATAGATAAAAGTGCAAACCAGAGAAAAGATCAATGAGAACCAGTGAAGGAACACCTGCTAAAACAAGAAGTCCTCATCTGGTGGTGCAACATAATAGCAGGATACAGAGAAATCCACTTGGGAATTCCACAGTTTTAGCACCACAACCAAAGAGGTCCTTTCCTGTACTGTCACCTATCTGATTTCAGATGGTGGGGATTTGTAGTGTATGCTGACCACCACCGGGGGCCAGCGAACAGCCAGAGCTTGGCTCTGGAAGAACAATAGGGACTAGGCTCCTAGTCCCTCCACTGGGGAACCAATGGGAACCTTGGCGGGAGATTCAAACCCACCAATGGTGACCCGGGGTGTGTCCCCAGGTATGTATATAGTTGGCCTGCCGGCCATTTTGTTGCTTGTTCTTGTTGTGTACCAAATAAAGCGTGCCATGCACCACGTCGTCGTCGGTCGTTTATCCATGCGGCAACCCACTACATAACAGGATTCCTGAACTAGGTTCTCCAAAAATAGGAGGAGGAGGAGGAGACTGGATTTATACTCCGCCCTTCACTTGGAGTCTCAGACTGGTTTACAGTCCCCTTCCCCACAACAGACATCCTGTGAGGTAGGTGGGGCTGAGAGAGCTCTTTTCAGAACCGTCCTCGAGAGAACAGCTCTGACAGAACTATGGTTTCCCAAGGTCATCCAGCAGCTGCAAGTGGAGGAGTGGGGAATCAAAGCCAGTTCTCCCAGATTAGAGTCCACGTACTTAACCACTACACCTTAGTGGTCAGGGAGGTTCATAGGGGAGATGGTGGTCCTTAAGGTATAAGGTATTCAGGCCCCAAGCAATATAGGGTCTTAAGGATTACTATCAGCACCTTGAATTGGGCCTGAGAGCAGATTGAGAGCCAGTGCAGATGATACAAGTTTGGAGTGGTACAGTCCCTAGTAGGAATGGGCATGAACCAGAAAATTATGGTTTGATTTGGGATCAGTATGTGCTTGGAATCAGGGGGAGTGACCAACACTGCTGGTGGGATGGTCATGGGGGCAAGATAGCCTGAACCTTGGTTCGCAACCCACAACCCAGGCGGTTTCACTCCCAGCTTCCTGCTCACTGCTAAAAGCTTTTCATGCAAGCCATTTAACCCTTTGCTTTCTGCTCTTCATGAACTGCCATGAACTGCATCAAAATTTATGGAAGTTCATGGTGGTTCTTCAGTTCGCGAACTGTGACCCAGCCAAAATTTGTTACAAATTTCAGTGTGTGAGCTGGTTTGTTCCCATCCCTACTTGCCTCCCAAAAATCTTGTTGGTCTCTAAGGTGTTCCTGGACGCAAATATAGCTCTTCTAATGCAGACCAACACAGCTACCTTTCTGAAACTACCTTCATAGGATGTCTCTGAAAAACTTCACCATTCAGAGAAATTGGGCAACTTTCGCAATTCTACCTGCATAATTTAATCAAAGTCTACATGTGTTTTTCAGAGATATTTTGAGTTGTGCATCGCTGAGTGAACATTACTACTGCTCATTTGATTGCTGTATTTAACTGTGTTGACATAAGAAAAGCTCTTCTGGCTCAGACCAATATCATGGGCAGCTTGTGGACTGAAGCACAAGAAATATCCCACCCTCCACAACTGTGTTCAACTGAAGGGGGACAGGGGCACTGAAAGGTGGCACTGCCAAAGATCCATCAGGCCAATCATTCTGTCTCACAATGGACCAGAAGATATAGAGAGCAGATGAGGAGGGAGAGAAAGTATTCATAGGCAGCATACACAGGACCTTGGGTCCTGATTTAAGGGCTCGAAAGGACTCATGAGCACTGTGTCCTCTAAACTGTGTGCATGAGTGGGGGAAAAAGAAGAGCTGGATTTACACCCGGCCCTGCACTTGGAGTCTCAGAGCAGCTTGCAATCGCCTTCCCTTCCTCTCCCCACAACAGACACCCTGTGAGATAGATGGGGCTGAGAGACCTCTGAGAGAACTGTTCTTGAGATAATAGCTGTGAGAGAACTGTGGTTGACTGAAGGTCACCCAGCTGGATGCATGTGGAGAAGTGGGGAATCAAATTAGAGTCCACCACTCTTAACCACTACACCAAACACAGGAAGCCCTGCTGAGCAGCAATCTGGAGCCCTGCAGGGTCTTGCCTACTGCCCATTGCCCATTTTAAGATCAAACAGTTATATTCCTCTCAGGATGTGAACTGCTCTGTTCAGTAGGGGGGGGGGGAAATAGAGGGAACATGAACCAGGCTGATTTCTGTAGTCTATATTTCCAGGCTCCACCTGGACAATTTACAACAAACAGGACCACGGTGTAATATAGCCAGTAAAACAGTAAATCACCGTGTACAAATAAACAATATAAGTTGACTTTTATCTCCAATGTTTTAGAATTCAATTATAAACAAAATTACAACCATAACACTATAATATGCAATACAAAGCTTAGCAGTACATATAGAATATTACAGTATTAGTTTCCGACAAACGATGGAGTTCTAGTACACTATCCGTTTTTGAGTCCTTCTTCAGGTTTGTCATTCTGTACTTATATCTTCATTAACATGAAGTGCTGCAAGCCATATTTCAAAATGCTAATTCTTATGTAATTTTTTTGTACGCTACCGCGCTTATTCTGATGACTGGGGAGCTCCTATAGCAAGCTCTAATGTGACTGGGTCTACAGTATATAATAATTGGCTAAGCATCCCTCAGACTAAGCATCCCTGCGCTTTGGGAGTGGGGTCCCTCCCATGGCCCAATCCCCACTGGTGGGGAATGGGCCTCTTGGGCAGGGGTTTCCCCCACCCCCCCGGGGGACTTGGCAACCCTAGATTTCAAAGAAACTATAAATTGCAAGTCTTCCTTTAAAAAGTGGAATTATAATCCAAATGAAGTGAACAGGGAAGTACAGGAAGAGGGTCTGGCAAAACAAATAGAAATTGACTGTAAGGCACAGAAAAAGAATTTGAGGAACATGTTACTAACTTAGCAAGAAAATGGATTAAGAATTTCTTTAAATAAATCAGAGCCAGGAAACCTGCTAGAGAAGTAGTTAACCCCATGGGATGACAAAGGATTCCTAAAGGAAGATGTGGAGATTGAAGAAGCTTGAAAGAAACAGAAATACTTAGTCTGGAGCCTCCCAACGTTTTTTTAAATTGCCCCCACCATGGCAGCTATTTTGTGACTGGACCTGCCTCTCATGGCAGCCATTTTGTACTGATGCTCACTATTCTTTCTTAAAATTCCAAAAGTGTCACAGGTTCATAAAATGCAAAGTTTGGGGAAAGTTTTTGGAAGTTTTGTTAAGTTTCTATCAAATTTCCTCTAAACCAGTAAATTGTCATACATTCGACTATAAATTAGGCATCAATTTTATGCAAAGCTAATTGCAAAATTTATTCATATATTGTCAACAGTGTCAGCTAGTGGAATGCCTACAGTGTTAAATTACAACCATAAAAGATGCACCATCTGAATACAAACCCTCAGGGTGAGTAAATAGCATTATGCTCATTTATGCCTTGTTCTTACCACTTTGCTGTTTAGACCAATCCATAGAGGTTCTCCATATTTCAACACCAGGAGCCATAGGAATGATTGGCTATAGGGATTCAGAATGCCGGTAAGTTCTGAGTTTTTAGAATGACACTGTTTTCTGGCTTCTTCCCATGTTGCAGTTTTAGTGAAAGAATAGCTGCTGTTTCCATAAGGTATATAGCCAGATGCCGGAATTGTTGTTTCAGAGTGAGAAGACACAGGGTCTATGCCAAAGTCATAAAGAGAAAAGGTTAACGCTGGTTTTAGACTGTACATCTGAATCAGTTGACTGCATAAAGTGGACTCTGCCTAGATAACACAGAAAGAAGTTTAGGGCATGACACAACATAGTAAAATGCATTTATATAAGTGCTTCCGATGAAAATTGTTATTAGTGTACATAAGATTTCACTCCAGCTACCTTAGGCTGCCCTCCCACCTTTGCTTTGCCCTTCTTTCCCACTCAGATTTTCAATGAGACTATGGTGGATGGACTCCATCCCTATACAGCCAGGCCACAGGCTGGGCACCACCCATCAGTGCACCATGTGTTCTATAAGATTTGTGGATTCCAAAAGTTGGTAACCCATTTATAGGTTGTGCTTTTACATCAGAAACTAAACATCCAAAAAGAAAGTAAAGATGGACATGAAGGGGAGTTGAAGAATCTAGGGATATCAGATTTCAGTTCGGATTTGGGGCTCACTGCCACTTTGAATTTATTTTTGACTGGATTCACTGGAGTCTGTAGGACCTGAAATGGTACCAGAAAGAAGGCAGCTGAGTTTCTAGGTGCTGGTGTGTGTGCTGTTGGTATGTTCTGAAATGGACCCCAGAAGCTCCAGGGCAGATCCAGGCCCAAACTGTGTGAAGGAGACCAGGCCTGGATCTGCTCAACAACTGAGCCTCTCCCCATCTCCCTTCTACCCTGCATGGCACTGCAGTGGATGCAGGGAAAACAGGGAAGGCCCAGTTCCTGTTATTCAGGCTTTCATAAGGTTGCTGACTCTTGGAAGGGACAAATTTGGCAAGAGGCAGGGCCTGAGTACTTCCCAGGGACAACCCACCTATGAGAGGGGCTGATGGGGCAAAGGGGTAGGAATGAGGATGGTAGAAGTACAGACCCAGCAGAATACACTTTATTAATCTAATACTTTTTAAATCTAAGGCACACAGCTATTCTATGTACTTATAATTCACACCAGTCTATATGCCCATACATAATAACATGCTGTGACGATCTTTCTCACTGACACAGAATGCCTACCACCCTTCACAACCTCTTTCCCATAGGGTCAGGATTACAGATAGGTCAGGCACTCACATGTCACTACCCGTCTTACCTCTTTTAAAATATATAGAAAGCCATGATTATTTCACATCCCAGGTCCTCTCTTTCATTCAGTGAGACACTGCCAGACAGAGTAGCCCAGCCCCCTTTAATAACTGCCCCTCATTTAGACACTGCACAGAGATATTAGAGTTGGGGACTCAAACACTGTTTCATTCACATGCTGCCGATATTTATTCATAGCCTAATATATATGTACACTGAGATCTTTGTTTCTGTGTGTACATGTGTTTCTTTCCCTGAGACAACCAGCCCAGAGGGTTAAAGAAACAAAGAGTTAATTTTATTTATAGTTTGAACATAACACTGAGGAAAGTTGGGTAGAGTTACAAAGTTTCTCTTCAATTGAACTTTTGAACTGTCTTCCTTTTCCAGCATGTGGGATTCTTTGTTATAAATTGACTTTCAGTCAGCTTGAAGCTGTTCTTCTCCACAGATCCACAGCTCCACTCACTCTCAACCCACTAACTGTTGTCTTCAACTGTCCTTCTCATTAACAGTCCATCAGCTCCCATTGGTTGCTTATAAGGGAGAGGTCGTACCTAACTTGTCTGTCACACATGCCTACACAGATCAACTACTACAATCCAGATTCCAGGCCAGTGAGATCAGCAGTGCAGATCAGCAGGTTGGTGCTATTGGGCAGCCAGCCCAGGCATCCTAATGGTGGAGAGCCTATATGCCCAGGGTGGGAAAGAAGTTCTAAGGGGTTGATCCCAATAAAGTTGGCTGGGGCTATATAAGGCCCTGGAATGCCAGGCCATGGAAGATTGGTTGGGACTGCTCCTCAGACAGATATGGAGACAGCCAGGAGCATCTCAACAGGAGGGAAAGAACTTAGGTGACTTAAACCCACCTCCCCTACATTTCTGAGACCTCACCAAGGGCAGGAAGGGCCAGTGCCTCCAGCCACTCCCAGCACAGAAGATACTCTGACCAATCCTACAAATGCCTTGAGGCTTTTGCCAGGGGTGCAACACTGCATCAATCCCCCTAATAAGCAACTGCATATCCCAAGGCCCAATGTGAAACACTGCAGTACTATGATAATCTGGTTCCAGGGTCTACAAGTGCATAGCCTACAAAAATGTGTTCTTCTGATCTAGGATCCATCTTGGCCCTCTTTTCTTTAGGAATGTAAGTGTGGGCCTTTGAAACACTTTTATATACCAGAACACTTTTAGATGATTCAGGCTGCACCAATCCGGAGACCACTGTCCCGCCTTTTCGCTTCTGTTTCTATTGTTTTATTTCCTGTAATAATCACTTCAGAAATTAATGTTTTGTACAACATCTTGAGATAAAAAATTGTGAGTACTTCTTTATCACAGTTGTTTGATTTATGTATTGTGGGTTTGTGCCCATACCACAGTTCAAATGATGTATTGCTTGCACCTTTAGTATGTAGTCTGTTTTGCAGGTAGGTAGCAGTGTTGATTGCTTTCCCCCAATACTTGTCAGGTAGCTCTGCCTTAAGGAGCATAGATGTGCACATTTCAGTGAGAGAACAATTTTTCCTTTCTGCTACACCATTCTTTTCTGGAGTGCATGGGACTGTAAGCAGATGCTCTATTCCTTTTCTGCCAAATAATTCTTCATTTCATATCCTATATGTCCCATTTTCAGTGCAGATTGCTAGTGGCTTTCTTTGAAATCTGTTACTGACCATTGCCACATATGCTTTAAAATTTTCCAGCACTTGACTTTTCTCTTTAATTAAGGTCACAGTATATCTTGAAAAGGCATCAATAAAAGTCAGCCCATATTTATTCCCACTAGGAGTTGACTTCCAGTTTGTCAGCAGATCTAGGTAGCCGCTCGCCCTGTGTTCTTTTAGAGGTTTGTTTTCCTTTTTCTGTTCTCTCCGATGTTTGACTTATTTGGGGGTTGATAAGTCTAAAGGTTTTTCCTTTGTAACTTAACACTAGGAGTTTGAGTTTTCATTGGTCTGCAAACATTACTGTGTATCAGCTCTAGGAGTCACTAATCTGGCTTTGTTTAAGCTAGGTCACATCCCCTTTACTTGAATGCAATGCATACATTTTCCTTAAACAGCACATTTACTTCTCTGCGTGCCTTTAGTTGAATTCTGGCTTTCAGATTGCCTAATAGCATAATTGTCTCTACATCCCAACCATCTGTGCCATAGTCAACAGCAGTTCTTGTGATCACAATGTTTGCTAAAGTTTGCTTTCTGCATGCAAGTCTGAAGAGCATATAAATCCTGATGCACTTTGCCATTTGCAATTAACTGTCCCCTCGGTCTGATACAGCATTTCCCTCCAAAATATGTAATCATGCCTTTCTTCACAAGTACTCTCATAGAAATAAGATTATTTGTCAGTTCTGGGACATAAAGGTAGTCTTTAACGAGGATATCTTGGTTCTCTCCACCAGGGAATTTGCATTTTATGATTCCTGAGTCAATGCCTTCTGCATTATAGACTGTCTATCTGCAACACTTAATGCCTCTTTCTTTTCTTTATCTAACATTTCAAAGAAATCTTTATGAGCACACGTGTGGATTGTGCAGGCACTGTCCAGATACCAAATATGGCTTTTTGTGGCTTCTTGTGTTAATATAAAACATTTCTGTTTGGAGCTTCCCCCTTTTCTTTGTCTTGGAAAGGCATCTCTTTGTTTAAAGGAAATGCAATTCCTCTTAATGTAGCCTCGCTTCCCACAGAGGTGACAAATGATCCCACCTTTGTTATTTACATCTGATCAGCATTTGGTTTAAATGCTTTGTCAGACTTTTCAAATTATCTGTGTTGTATGTTTTCTCAAGCTGATTTATAACTTCTGTGAGGGACAGATTACTCTTAGATTCAATCTGACACACTATATTTGCATATGACTTTGGCAGACTTATTAATAGTAACACAATGAGAACTTGTTCAATAATTTCCTTTCCTGAACTCCTCCACTGTTCAGCCAATCCAAACATCTTGTCCAGATGATGATGTAAATTACCCCCCTCTTTCATCTTAATACTGAAAAATTTCTTTTGTAGATAAAGCTGACTCTTTAAAGAGGAATTTACATGCAGCCTTTCCAGTTCACACCATACAGCTTTGGCTGTTGGCATCTGAATTACTCTTAACACAATTCTGTCAGTGAAACACTTGATTATGGCACCTCTTGCCTTTTCATTTACACCTCTTGCCATCTCAATTACTTTGCCCAGTAATTAAAGATTCGAGACTGGGTGGTATTGTTCAGATCCATATGATCTGAATTTGGTTTTTTTCAAAAGCAGAACAACCACTGCTGGCCTTCATCAGCAACAAGGTGGATGGGTCTAAGAAGCAGGTGGTTGGCCTAACAGCACCCAGAATTCTGTTGACATCGACTCAGGAGAGCTGACTGAAGGTGTCAAAGACCGAATTCAAAGATGGCCAAGGGGCCTCCAGTTCACATACTGAGTCAACACTGACTGGAAGGTCGCAGTGGAGTGACAGGACTTTATCTGCCAAAAAGCTTGCAAATGTCTCACAGCTTATAGTCAAATTTCTATTATTCCGGGTCCTCTTAAAGAGGGAAGTAGGAGACCTAAATTATCCTAAATAATTGAGCTGGGTGAAAGCTAGCAAACATGATGGGGGTCACATAAAAATCTTATTCAGTGGCCTCACTGCCATCTGATAGGATTTCATAAGCGTCCTATAGGATGCTCTTGTGGCTTCATTGCAAACACACCACCAAATTCGCTCCAGTCATCTGAGTTCCTGTTTCATCCCCCTAAGCTCCACAGTGTACTAGGGGGATGTTTTCTGCCAGGAACGGAGAGGATGTTGGGGGCAATTTCATTGATATCTTCAGAGTGATGGGGGATCTAGCTGAGAGAGGGGGTAAGACTGAGTGTGGCACTTCTGAGAAGAAGGGGGAAATTGCCCTAAGAGTAGCAATCTGGAGACAGACAAGGAATGACACTTAGCAGGAGAGAAGGTGCTGACCTCACTATCCTATCTAATTGTCTTCTTGTTGCCCCCTGCAGGGCCTAAACACCAAGGCGCACGGAACGCTGTTACCTTCCCACCGAAGTGGTACCTATTTATCTACTTGCAATTTCTTGCTTTCGAACTGCTAGGTTGGCAGGAGCTGGAACTAGAGACGGGAGCGTCATGCGGCAGCTCGGTCTCGAACTGCTGAACTACCAACCTTCCACAGCCTTCAGTTCAATGTCTTAAGCACTTGAGCCACCGCACCTCCATATAATCCTTATTGTGATTTAAATAATTTACTATGGCATTTAAAATTACTAATCTCATTTCTTGTGACCAAAATGTTATGTTGCAAGAATGGGCTTTGAGGTCTATAAAATATCTTAAATTAAAACTTACCAGTGCTTTTTTGACATATGTATCCATACTTTATTGAACATTTTCTCTCTTTCCAATTTCCTGCCCACTTTTCAGGCTCCTTTATCATAGTAACACAGTTCTCATAGAAAGAGAAGTAGAACCTTTGGCGCTTCAAAGAAATAAATAGAAACTCACTGATATTCTTGTAACTAAAATAAACACCAATTTACTCTGTCACCACACCCATCTGTGAATGCATATTTTGGTGTCTATTAATTGTGACATTAACAATATATACTATTATTAACAATTATATGCTAAGTATTATTTCTAAGCTAAGAAACTTTTACCTACTTACACTGAATATCTTCCTCAAATGAGGGGAGAGACTGTGTATATATGGCTATGGTTGCCAACAGGCCTGGAGAAAACTGCCCTGTTCCTTTTATTGATGTTTAATGTGTAGAAATGACCAGCTAAAGCTTTTCATGTTATGGAGATGAATAACATCACCTGGTAAACATCATCCCACTAAGCTTCTCTTAAAAAGAAAAAACTTTTTCTCCAGGCTTGACTGTTTGGCATAGAGAAGGTCCCACATTCAATCCCTAGAAGCCCCAGTTAAAAAGATCAGGAGGTAGATGACATAAAAGACATCTGCTTAAGACTCTAGGGATCCTCTGCCAGTCAGAGTAGACAATGCAGACCTGGATAGAAAAATGCTCAGGTTCAGTATAATGCTGCTCAATATACATGTCCAACTTCGGAGTCCCTCTAAATATCCCACTATGCTCATATTCATTTATTAATGTATTTCTATTCTGCTCTTCCCATGCTGGGAAATTCTTGGAAGTTTGGAGGTAGAGCCCGGGGAGGGACCTCAGCAGGGCAGCCTCTCCAGCGGAATAGATCTCAGTAGCCCAGAGGTGAACGGTAATTCCAGGAAATCTCTAGGGCCCATCTGGTGCCTTGTAACGAGAGACTTCACTCCCACATCCAATTACAGAATCTGACTAAATTTAAAAGGGCTTTGTTTAGTCAAACCATTTAGCAGCAGAGTGCTCCAAGATTTATCTATTAAAAGCTGATTAATAACCTTTAAATGTGCAACAAGTAAGATGAGTTTGATTCTTTGAACTATAACCAGTAAACCAGATTGAAAAGATGACAGACTGTTATCTTTTATTGAAAAAGAAATCGTTCTCTTTATTATGCAAGACAGGAAGAAGTATAGGCATGTAAAATTAACCCTATAATTACTGTAAAAATAAGTGCTAAAATTCTCAAAGTTTCTAATCTTAAACAGGCCTGCTCAGAATCCAACTCAGGTCTATTCAGAGCAAAAGTGTTCTCAGGATGGCACTGTCACTGGCCCAGGTCACTCAGTGGCTTCAGGACCAAGTGGGGATTTGAATCTGGATTGCCCTGCTCCGTGTCTGATACCAATAAACAACACTAGCTTTGGTTTCCCAGTTTTCATTGTCAATAAGAATTTTTTGGCAATTATTTTGCTGCTAATGATTGTGTGTGTGTGTGTGTGTGTGTGTGTATGATGAAAATATTTGACAAAAATTCCAAACATTAACTTCTCTCCTCGGCATCTAAGAGGACAGAAAGCATATATCTGAATGAAAGTCCACGAATGGTGAGATTGCTGGAGATTTCAGGGAGTGGGCAGGTTACAGCTGATGACAAAACTGAGCATTGTCCTCCACTAGTTCCACTGGCAAAATTCAAATAGAAGAAAAGCCTCATGGTGAGAGAGAGCAGAATAAAAGCTAGTTTAATTGCTACATTTAATGCACAAAACCTAATCTTGTTCACAATTGGCTTATTTGTACTCTTTAGAGATTCAGTCATGGTTTAGGGTCTATTCACAACTGGGTTGCCTATCCTGGATACTTTTCCATATATGTAATTTTGTTATAAAAATGGTGGTACAAAATGAATCACTTTGAAAAGGAGAAAAGAATTCACAAGCAGGACTTACAGAAGGGGTGGGGGCCCAGTTTGTATAACGCACACTACTTCCATCTGTCCATACGAACCTTCCCTCTTCAATGATATCATGCAGTCCAATCCAAGAATCAACTGGCACATTTTTAAAGTGCATGGTAAGGAAAGCTGAGTGAAAACAAAGATAATACAAAAGATATATATAGATATATAGACACACACACACAAACACACACACAAAGAATGGACTTGCATAAATAAAGACTATTTAATACATTGACCCAAGTATCTTTTTCTGTAGACTAATCAATGCCTTGCAAATCATAGTGAAGGTAAGTGGAAGGACTTGTGAAAAGCCAGCCCAGTTTAGTAGAACTTCCCAAAACTCCATGCTAATAAATGTTTAAACAGATAAATAGGACACTACTGTAATCAAATGATTCAGAAAGTTGCACTGGTAAACAGATAGGAACTGTGGGCTATACTACTGCCTATCACTGTAAGTGTGCTCCTATAGTTTCTACCTCATTAATGTATCACGTTTCAGTGCTTATGCTTTGTTTCAAATTTGTTTTAGATTTCTGCTTGTTTTCAGGTTTCTGTAGTCCAAACCCTTCACTGTTCACTGTATGCCCCATCTTGTAGATTGTATTTCACTTAGTCTCAGTGAGAAAAGCAGACTGTAAATATTGTAAATAAATAACTAAACAACTCAAACTATCACATGCAGTCTTGCAGAGAATTACTCCAGTCTGGAGTAACTTCATGTAAAATTGTGTTATTTTGGTAGTCGAATGGTCAAGAGTAGACTAGAAAATTTTGAAAGAACACTTACTTCTCAACGGCAACAGCTCTTTGCTGCGAACAGAATGGCAACAGTATATTTTACTTAACAGTGAGTGCTCTTCTCTGGGCTTGACTCAGAATGGGCACAACTCAGAGAGAGTACCCTGCATTTTGAGCTGGATTGAGATCCAACTGACTCCTTACACACTCTGACACCAACCCATATCTGTCATTCTTCTCCACTATAATCTTTCCTCGTTTACCTTGAGAGAGGAGGCGGAACTGGAAAGGATGAGTAGCAACAGGGCCCATATGGTCTAGGCCTAGATGCTCCCATGAACAGGAAAAGAAGAATTCATTGACTCCAGGAAGCATTCAGTATTTTTTTTCAACATTTCTTGATGTCAGTGGATTGCTTCCACACATACTCATGGGAGTATTTCATCTAAATCCTGAGGCCTTCCTTGCTAGGGTGCCTTTCTGCCACTAGTTCTATCTTTCAAGGTTATGTTTTGAAAAGGGGGATCACGTGTAGTTTTGAGGATATTTATTCATTTAGGACATTTTTATACCGCCTCTCCAGGAAACCTGTTCAAGGTGGCTTACAAAATAAAAAATAATAAAACATTAAGAATTATTAATTACACCAGGGCTCTTTTTGTAGCAGGAGCTCCCTTGCCAATCCTCCAAGAGCTTACAGAGCTCTTCTTACTGGGGCTACTGTAAGCTCTTGGAGGATTGGCTACATCAGGGTGTGTGTGGCCTAATATGCAAAGGAGCTCCTGCTACAAAAAGAGCCCTGACAACTCATTATTAAAAGCCCAGTTAGAGTATAGAACACTGAACAGCTAAAACTGTGTCTAGTCTAGTCTAAAACTAGTCTAAACGCACTATACAATGGAGTTAAAAATCAACCCATTAAATTAAAAGCCTGGGTAAACCAATGTTTGTTCTGGCAACTAAATGGCAGTAGAGAAGGCACTGGGAGAATTTCAAGGAAAAGGTTGTTGTGGTCCAGCCAAGTCCAGCATAGCAACAAGATGAAGAGAACACCTCTGAGGAGGAGATAGTCAGCAGACGAGACCCAAACTCACAGCCTGTGGCAGAGGTACTGCAGGAGGAGGCCGTCCCTGAAGGACCTGACAGAGATCCTCAGCCAGGAACCAGTACATTGGCTCCTCAGCTTCCTAGCCCTGGTCTGGCAACGGAGAGCCAATTGCCAGCCAAGTCATTCCCTCCATCACCAGCGCTTTGGGAACAATGTTGGAAGAAGATAAAGAGAGGCCTTCAAGTCTGAAGTCATAGTGCTTGGCTAGCAGCACAGCATTGGCCCATTACAAATAGTGAGGATGAGTGCTTGTAGGAGCAGGACTGAGGTAGCCTGCAGGTATGTGATGCAATACAGGTGGTTTAGCAGTGTGGGGCTTAAAAGCACCAGAAAAGGGAGTAGACATGTGGAAACAACTTGTTTAATGGTTACTGACCTTGCTGCCTGTATTCTGAGTTGACTTCCTTGTCTCTGGCATTAGCCTGTATCTAGAAACCTTGATATCAGATTCCCCTTTGGACTTGAAGCTGTGAGTGTCATCTGGCCAGTATCTGAAACTTGGAACTGTGCTCAGATCAACTCTGACATCTAGAAACTACCTCTCTGTGCTGGCAGTCAGGACAAGGGTATTACATAGGTGAAGTGCCACTACTGATAAAGCCCTTTCTTTGGTTGCCACTTATTTCACCTCTAAAGGCAATGGCATGGAGAGCATGACTTGTGAAGAAGGTGAAGAAGAAGAAGAAGAAGAAGGTGAAGGTGAAGAAGAAGGTGAAGGAGAAGAAGGAGAAGAAGGAGACGAAGGAGGAGACGAAG